ACGTAGTGCTGACAAACATAGTCCCTTATGCATGGAGACTTTTTCGACACCTTGTTGTACTAAATGTCAAAACATTCATATCTAAATACATAGACAAAAAACGTGTTTGTCATGTGTATAACACAAAAGGATAATAACAAATAAAATTTTGGGATCTTTTAGCATTATGAGTTACATCAGGAGATTTGGCCCCGGAGGATGTCCTCCTCAATTGTACCTCACTGCACTGACTAGAAAATAGACAGAAAAAGACCGAGAGTGATCTTCAACTTTCTTAGCTGTGATCCAGATACAATATTAAGTGACTTTCTGGTTCCACAGGGCCTCAGGAGAATGACATCAGCCACACGTCTTAACACAGGGAGCGGATATTATTACACTGCTTTTAGGCCACTTAAGCCTTTGTACACAGTGAAACAGACACGGTGGTCGTGACTTCATGTTTGTTTTTTTTCTTGCCATTTACATCATTGGAAGGTCACTGGTTTACATGATGCAGCTGGTGAAACACTGCATAAAAGGGAACAATAATAGAAAATGAAATCAAACAGATTAGGGATGATTTCCAACTGCAAATGTTCTTCTTTATTTTATTTTTTTCAAACAAATTTACTTTGTCCATTCTCAGCAACACTGAAACATATCCCGGTAAGCTGCAAAACAATGCCGATGCACCTGAATGCACTACAAGGTGAACACATGCTGGAAACACATGAATAACAATACACTACCTAACTGTAAGACCAAGCAACTGAGCATGATGTTAGACTGGATGATTCTGGCCAAGCTAGGCCAGAATCTCTGTTTTCCTGGCTGAGATCACATCACGCCAGACCTCACATAGCTCATGTACATCAGAGAGTTGGGAAGACACTGTGGATGAGGGCAAGTATCCCAGTCTTGACAAGAGCTTCAGGCAGAGGTAGTTCAGGGGTTAAGGTTCTGGGCCACTGATCAGAAAGTCAAGCCCCAGCAACACTGAACTGTCCAACAGTTGAGAAAAACCCTTTATGTTTTCTGCTCCATGGGCACTGAGTCATGGCCGACCTTGCATTCGGACTCAGGCTAAAGTCTTCTTCTAAGTGTGCTGTGCTTGTGGTGAACCCCAAACACCACCAAAGTCATCGACTTCAAACAACGGCAAATTTCTTTTTCTTTTGTGTATGCTGAGCCTGTGGCAGATACTGAACAACATGACTGGAGAGCCAGGATCTGTCCAGTGGATGTAGGCTTCAAAGCATTTGTAGCCATGTGCTCAAGCAAGCTTCTAAAAGAGATGGAGTATGAAGCCAAGGCCATCATCAAGCCGTCAATGCCCCTGAGAAAAGCCGGCAATGGCTCTGGATGAAGAGGTAGCATCAAAGGGAGTGAACCTGCAGATGTAAGGTCTCACTACTGAACCTTCTGGATATTTAGTAATCTCATCCGTGAAATAGTGAGGAATAAGCACGCCAAATTGATAACCCTGAAGATGCCATCGCTGTATGTGTATGCCAGTACATAAATCCGACAGACTTCTACTGCTGTGGTTTCTCTTGCCCTGCAGACCTGCTTGGAGCCTCTGCACTTGTGACTCGCTTTCCCGTATGTTGTTGTGGATGAGGTATTCCACATGGATACCCTAAAGATTTACACTTCCCAAAAGCAGTTTACTCCCAAAACTGGATGATGGATAATCTCAACTAATGGATAATCTCATTAGATTAGATACCATACTAGATACCATATATTTGTACCCGCTGCAACCGTAATACTGCAACCCGCTGCAATACTTCATCGTATACAAGTGCGGAAGAGAACACAAGGAATGTCACAAGGAATGTCCCCCCCTCACCACCGTCACCGATGAGATCTAAATCCATATTCAGATGTCTCCGAAGCTGCTCTGTGGAAATGTCTCCTCAAATAAAGCTGAATCGAATTGAATCTAATGGAAGCGCTATAGAAGTTTTGAGGCAGCAATGGATTGCAAGAAAACAAACTGTGCATCACTTTGAACAGCAGACTTTGTCACAAAGCAGCTTTATTGAAATCGGAATGTAGATCTTCAACTCGGGTGATGAATATTCCTTTTTTATCACCTCCTCTTTCAGGACTCCAGGCAAACACCTATACACCCTCACACCATCGCTGTTGCTTTTCTGCAGCTGATCTGTGGTGCGGAACGAGAATGTCAGCTGACGTTTCTGTCTAAAGCAGGGCATCGCTGTGGTCAAAATGACGGCTGCAAAATGTCACCGCACCACCAGACGACCTCTGAGGGGCAGAGCGGAAATATTTGGTGGTCAATTAATCTTTTGTTATGGCCACCCTCTACGCTAACCTATTCTCCCAAAAGGGCACGTAAGCTTGAAAATTTAACGCCAGCATTAACTCAACATCCAGACTTTGCTTGTTAAAACGCATTTCAACAATTTTTTGAACAATTTCATCCCCAGACAGTCTGAGATCTTCATCATGCGGATGATGACAGGCCAGGAAGATCGGGTTGCCCCCACAGACATACGCTGCCGTTATTAAAGCGACGCTCCCAGGAATAGCTCGCTCTAATATACCGTGAATCATCTTGCTTTGTAAAAGAACCGCTGTTCCAAGTGCTCTCATGGCCTCTCGTTGCTCGCCAACACACTCTGTTTACCATTAAATCATCACGCTCTGGTTTCAGCGTATTAATGAAGCCACGGGTGGTGACAAACAAAACATTTTTTTTGATAAACACTACTACTGACAAACACTTATTCTGTGAATTGTGGCAGCGGAGCGACGGCAGCGAGACAATAACGAAGCAGCTATCTATCATTTGTGCATTCGTACCTCACCTCATGCATGTATCACATCACCTTCTCTATCAGTTACACAGCTGACTGCTTAGAGGAATTGCATTTAAAAGAAACCACGAGTAGATCAAAAGAAAGACCGTTTAGATCGCACTGAAGAATTTTTCATATTGAATTCTACTTTTTTTTCCTTCTTTTTTTATTTTGCACCAAGCTAACAAATTCAGCATGCTGGTCTCAGTGAAATCTAAATTTTCATAAGTTACACTGAATAAAACACTTCTTAAATTGACTCAATGCTGATTCATTAATAGACTAATTATTATTTAATTACTTATCTATGCACTATTGGTTAATGAGTAGTGTAGTGCCAAACTTTAGGTAGGTAGGTAGGTAGGTAGGTGGGCTAGCTAGTAGCTTGTTAGCTAATTAGCAGTTTGTATGACACTAGCAGAGGGTACAGGGAATATAAAGGAATATGAGGTATAACTATGAGCTATGTTACAGATATCCCCACGGTTTATTATGGAATGTTACTAGCTGGCTTCTTGCAGTCGTTTCTCAGTCTTTAATCTAGCGTACACTCTCAGAAATAAGGTTGATAGGGGTATCACCCCAGATACAGTTTATGATCTGCCCTGCTGTGGGGGTCGACGACGACACAAAACAATAGAAACCCTCATAGAATTTGTCATTACATTAATAATGGGAATTGTATTGATTTTAATGGAAACTGAAATCATCCCTGTGGGTCTACTGGTAATTTGCTGCCTTATACTGGTGGCATGTTCTGTCTAGTGGATACAGTTAAGCAGCAGTAATGGTTAGCTGATGGTTTGTAATGGTATTTGCAGTGGAAGCCATTAGAATTTCTGTGATGGTTTCTATTGTTTATATTTTTTCAGCAGGGTGTAGTGTACCATTCCAAAAGATTTAAACTATGTAAATGGACTGTAATTAGTTTTTAGACTACAGCTTTAAAGTAGCAGGGACGCTCTAAAAGGTACCAAATGTTTACGCTTGAGGGTACAGCCGCCGCAACAAGGAATGGTACAATTTAGTATCCTTTTTTATTCTGAGAGAGTACACTGAAAGTGCATCGTGGGAAATACTTGGCCGCCAAGACAACACTGTGTAAACTTTTGGGTCTTAGAATGACTTCTACGAATTCTAGTATTTGGGTTTCTTAAACATGTCTCACTTCCTAATGAGAACATTAAGAGTAAATGAATTTTAGGTGAAGGTAATGAGAAAGTTTAGCATTTTGGAGATCCTCATCCACCTGTTTTCACCTAGCTGATTCGCTGAACCCGGTGCTGGGCAAAAAAAGGCATTGGCGAAGACTTTCACCTGTTCTCAATATGCACGCTCATCTCATTTCGGTGTTAATTACAGCTCTGAATCAGGCACGACTCATTTACAAAAGCACGTTCCTTCCTCGTCCGTGTAAACCTGCGTGTTATTGAAAACACCCCGCTTATTAACGAGCTTAGAAGAGGCTTACCCGAGTCTGATGTCTCATCTCAAACAAAAGCGAACGGCGGCCGTAATTGAGGCGCATTCCTCGTCTGGGTCAACAAAATGAAATGCAGAGAGACGGAGATGTCAGCCGGTCCGAGCAGGACTCGGTCTAATGAGACACAGCATGTCTTCGTTAAGTATGCATGAAAAGAATATGCGTCTGCGGTACACTCGGAGCCGTCGCTATTTCGGGCAAATCTAATAATGTTGCAAAATTCAATTGAAATGCAGATTCATACGGCAGCACTCGGGCTCGGGGAGAACCAGATCCACAATAAAGCCTGTGTGCGATTTTAAAACAATTTGGCTAAATGGAGTCTGCGTGCACCTTCTAATAAATGTTACATGACAAACAGGGCAAACCAAATTAGGCTGGAATGAGGGAATATCCAGGAAACATGAGGTAAAAAAAAAAAAAAAAAAAAAAAAAAAAAAGCTGAGGCTACAGAGACACTGAAAGAACATGAGGTCATTTTTTTTGGTGTGCACAACATACTGTCGTGAGATACTATAAAAAAAAAAACAAAAAAAACATATCCCATACAAACCATACTGTTGCGTTGGCACCCAAAATGGTTTCCGGTTTATAGAACAAAATTTCGGATAGTTATGTCTTGCAGTTATGGGCTGGATGAATAGATATTGTGAGTTTTACAAAAGTATCCTTGAGACCTAGCTAAAATAGTTTAAAGACATGATAGGGGCAGTGGTGGATTAGCGGTTAAGGTTCGGGGTTACTGATCAGAAGGTCGGGGGTTCAAGTCCCAGCACTGCCAAGCTGCCACTGTTGGTCCCTTGAGCAAGGCCCTTAACCCTCTCTGCTCCAGAGGGCGCTGTACCATAGCTGACCCTGAACTCTGACCCCAACTTCCTAACATGCTGGGGTAGGCGAAGAAAACATTTTTACTGTGCTGTAATGTATACGTGACCAATAAAGACTCATTCATCCATTTATTCTAGCTAGTCGTCATGGATACATTATTACCGAAAAACATTCGAAATGAATTTTTGAATCGTACTTGAATGCAGAGAGGCTCTGCAAGGGTCGCGCTAAGTCAAAAACCCCCTTTGCAAGTTTACAAAGGCTTGCCTATTTTCATTTTGGCAGTCCCATTCGAATGCCCCCATCGCAGGCTTCGTCACGGAGCATCCACATCATCCACAAAATATCACCCGGTTGCCAATTGCATGACACGGCGAGCAAAACCTCCACGCAACATCTGTTCGCTCTGCAATAACAAACACCGTTCGTTCATGCGAGCCAGACAAACGTCGTCTCTGCATGAACTAACGCTGCTGACGTAAGGGTCTAAATTTGTTGTACAGACTGTAGCAACGTATACAACATTGTGAGGTTTACCAACACCGAATGCCAAGAAAGCGGTTGGAAGGAAACGAGAAGAAATCAAGACGTTTTTGTTTGATCCAAGAAGAATGCGGAGAAAAGCCAGGGCGCATTGGCTGATTTCTGAGAAATATCATTTTCACTAATTGGTGCACAGACAAAAAAAAAAAAATCCCTATAGTGCGAGACATGAACACATGATACAGGAGTACACAGTTTTACCAGTGAAAAAATAAACAAACAAATAAATAAATAAATAAATACACCATGTCCTTTTAAAGGCATTCATGACACTGACCCATGCTGAGAATGCCTTTTACACATCACTGATGAATTAAAGCGAATGGTGGTACCGTAAAAAAAAAAAAAAAAAAAAACTAAACAAAACAACCCTCTATTTAAAATGACAGAAAGTTCTCTACGACCGCAGCAGTGGCTCAGCGGGTACAGTTCTCCCTCAGCGTCCTTTACACATACGCTTCGTAAATGCAACGTCCGAACTATTTCTGGTAGGAACATTTCCTTCTATGTGAAAAACGAGTCACCGTCAGACATTTTAGCATGGCCTGCTGGAATGTGTAGCGCTAAGCACTACGGGATGAAAGCATTACCGTGATCTACGCATGTTTAGATACAGTAACCCGAGTACTGCAGGAATGGGATCATCCGAGTGCTGTGGTGTCATCAGAACATGTATTAGCGTCGTGCTCCGGATTCGTTTTAGTATCAAATTGCTGGCATGTCGCATCAAACCAAACCCAACACATGGCTTAAGGAGCATGCTGTAGAGATGTACACGAACGATTTTAATTTACATTCATTTCAATGGCACTTTTAACAACAGTCTGTGGCTGAGAAGCAAACGTGACGGACAAAATAAAAATAACCAAAACACTATACCGTTGTTTTCTATTTTGAGAAACACGAGTCCGTACTCAAACCATGCTTATTAGAGTTAATATTAGAATGGCAAATTTGTGACGATGCCAAAGGTATCCATGGTCAGGAGTCAAAATCAGTCATTAATAGTGGATGAAAGAGGGGTTGAAAAAGTACCAAGAGATCTTGGTACTTCTTGGCACTCTTGGTTCCTGATTTTTCAGAACGCCTGTGGATGCTGTATGATAAAGCTAGGTACTGAGCTGAAAAATAAATAAATAAATAAATAAATAAATAAATAAATGGATAAATACCATAAAATAAAATAAAATCAACAAAATGACCAAATTGGAAGAAAACAAAAACGAAGACAATTTGCATAATTGATCAAGTCCATGGCTGGGATCAAGATAAAAAAAAAAAACAACAAAAAAAAACAGGGAAGAGTCCAAGCTACGAAAACATGATACTTAAGACTAGTTTTGGAAAAACAAAAGAGCTAGTGAAATACAGCTGGGAATACCAGTTAATAGACATAGTTTAAGAACAGGGAACACAATTTGGACATTTTCACTTAGGGGTGTACTCACTTTTGTTGCCAGCGGTTTAGATATTAATGTCTGTGTGTTGAGTTATTTTGAGGGGACAGCAAATGTACACTGTTACACAAGCTGTACACTCACTACTTTACATTGTAGCAAAGTGTCATTTCTTCAGTGTTGTCACATGAAAAGATATCATCAAATATTTACACACATGTGAGGGGTGTACTCACTTTTATGAGATACTGTATGTATATATATATATAAATAAATTCTTCGCCATTTAGTAACAACTGATTATTGCAGAGTTCTATCATAGAACGATTTGACTTGGGACCCGAGTAGCACTTCAGGGAGCTGGGACTTTTACCTCACACACACGGTCATTTTGTGGGTCTCGTAATACGATTTTAACCACGTTGCATTTATATGCAAATTAGATTGCAGCACTTGACGGCAAACAAGCTGCTTTGTTTCTTTGAGTTTTGTTTTCCTTTGGTCGCAGTATCTTATTTATTTACCTTGATGGTCGCATTTCATCAGTCGTGGACCACGTGCATAATGATGGGAGGCGTTACGGTTGACCAGTTTGAATCCGAGAGAAAGGTGCATTTATGGCTGTACAACATCTGAGTAGAATGTGCCTCAGGCTTGGGTTAACGTGATCAGATTTATATCTTAAATGCGTCCTAGCCTAATGTTTTAGAAGGCATCTGGGGTACATTTACACCTGATGTTTTATGTACAGAATATTATTTTAATCCTAAATATGCATGAACTTGGACTTAGGTTCCACGACTTCAGCACTGATAAACATACAGACTGATGAGAGGTAAGGAGCAATAGATTAGACCCGTCATGGTAATCGGGAAACGGTCACGGTCAAAGGGAAACAATAACAGGAAACGCTGACCATACAAGGACAATGAAGGGGAGATTGAGACAGACGGCGTAGAGAGCATGACGGGCAAATTGTGACACAGTCGAGACAGATGTGACGGAAACCTTGAGAGGAAAGGAAGAAAGGAAAAATGTGCCAGAGAATAATGAAATGTGGGACTCTTGGTGTATAAGAACATCTCTCTCTCTCTCTCGCCGACATGTGAACCAACGAGCGTTCAATTTTAGGAATTATATTTCATGTCTTGTACTGGAAAGGAAATTATGTTATATGGCCATATTCAGAGTTGATTTAATACTGAAATTGCACACATCCGTATTCTGAACCAAGTCCACTGTCGAACACTTACAATAACTACAATGATTGCTGAAATTCATATTTTTGGCTGTAAACACAAATAAAAAAATAAAAATAAAAAAAAGGCCACAATGGAATGACATTTGAGGCCAATATGCCATGCATATAAATGACACTATTACGTTAATAATACGTCAATTAGAATATATTCATTTTGAAATCAACAGAAAGTTGAGGATTCGATGCATCTTATCTGAGGCACTGCTTTTTATAGCTCGAATGTTTCGTCAGACACTTTTAGCAGATTAGACTAGCAAAAAGTTCGACATCTCATAAAATAACAAATCACAAGCATGATAAAATTAATGATCTCATGCCTTCATTACGTTGCGTGTGAGCATCCATCAGAGCACAATATAATCGATCAACCCCCCCCCCTAAATAAATAAATAAATAAATAAATAAATAAATAAATAAATAAATAAATAAATAAAAAAAGCATGTATTGGATCAAGTGCTATTTCATAAGCCTTAGAATAAAGAGGATGGAAGCCTTTTGTTCAATCAAGGTTGGAGTGATTAACGTACAATTAGGACTATTCACGCAGCAAAATATTGGCAACATACTAGACTACTTAGCCTTTTACTATTCATTGATTATATATATATATATATATATATATATATATAGTTAGTCAGTTGTTATGATGTTAAATGAGCTATAATTTGGGAAAACTATAGCCAGGGCATTGAAAATGAAAAGTAATTACTAAGTCATTACCAAATACTAAGTCATGTTTTGCAGAAGGGTCAAATACTTATTTCCCTCATTAAAATGCAAATCAATTTATAACATTTTTGACATGCGTTTTTCTGGATTTTTTTGTTGTTATTCTGTCTCTCACTGTTCAAATAAACCTACCATTAAAATGATAGACTGATCATTTCCTTGTCAGTGGGCAAACGTACAAAATCAGCAGGGGGTCAAATACTTTTTTCCCCTCACTGTATATATATCTTTTTTTTTCCTTCTCATGCTTGTGTTTAAAAGGTGGTGATCTAGAAACTTTTGAACAATCTCAGACGCTTCATTTCAGCCAAAATCTGGCAACCTTAGAGGCTTGAACCACATGCAAGGAATTTACAAAATATGAACAGGGAGCCCAGGAAATGCAGTTAGCAACAACTAAGTAACGTCAGAATTTCACTCAGGGAATTTTTTGGTACGAGCTTAGTAATGCAGGTACTTACAGTACATCGTCACTTGAGTTGAGTGAGGAAACATCTTCAGAATTACAACGGTCGTTTTATAGAATTTGAGGCGGATGCAAATGCAGTATCACACAAAACAAGACTTACATGAACCAAGGCTGAGCATAACAACCAACGCAAGACAACTCGTGTAGTGCAGAATGGGAATACACACACACACACACACACAAGTGAATGAGCTAAATGTGAAACAGGTGAATGAGACATGGTGCAGTGGCTGATGGGAAAGTTTCTAGTCCTTCTCCGCTATTACATGACAAGAATACCTGTCTACTGACTTTCTTGTTTCAATCCAATTTACTCTAACTAGCTATTCACAAAAACAACACTGTCTAGAAACCTACACTGGGGCTTTCAATCGATCAATAAATAAATAAATTTAAAAAATGGCCTTGAAGCAACCGTGGACCCGCAGAGGAAATATGTAGCTGAATAAACACAAAGGCATCGCCTCAAAATCCAGTTCGAAGGTCTCCACCAACCGCTTTAATGCTGCTTCTCTCTGCTGTTTAGCGGCTTTTTTTGACAACGTGCTGCTTC